AAGAAAGAAAGAAAGAAAGAAAGAAAGAAAGAAAGAAAGAAAGAAAGAAAGAAAAAGAAAGAAAGATAGGGGTAGGCCAGAAGGGATAAGCAGAACTACGGAATCTTCTCTTTCCCCTGGAAGGCAGCCACAGGAAGCTCCTAGTCCCTCAGCCTAATAACCTGAACAGGCAAATCTATTCAACTGATTTTCTTCACACTCTCAAGATTCCCTGGCTTGCTAGTCTACTGGCAGCAAGCAGATACGGTTGCTAGGCAACACCTTTACCAGGGATTTGGGAGTGCCGGGAGGGAGGAGGGAGGAAGACAGCCTGAAACTTTCAGCAGGTGAAGGCTGAAACTATGCTGCAGACATTTGGGTAATTTGCAAAGATGTTTTATTCCTGTCACAAGTCTTGAACAGAAGGTTTAAAAGTGTGCATGCCACCCTTAAGAGCATAAAGGAGTGAGGACAGAAGGGGTCAGACTTAGACTGCCAAAGATCAGATTCACTTGCTTATACAAAGACTCCTTAAATGCATGAATAAGAGGAGGGGATATATTCTAATCATCTTCATCTTGTTTCTCTAAACTGGGATAGAGGAGGGGGAAAGTCAAGGGGCAAGCTGATCCTCGGCTAAAGATGCTTGCTGCCATTTTCTTATATGCTAGTATGGATTGTTGGGTTCTAATTTTAGGTCACTTTCCCTAAACCTGCTCAGAAGATAGATCTCAGTTGAAGTTAGGAACCCAAGGAAGAGAGAAGGAACTCTCAGATGTCCACAGGTACCTTTCCCTTCCTGCCCCCTTCCCTTATCCCAACCCTCCAACAGTCATTAACAGCAGGAACTGTGCTCACCATGGCTCTGAGATGAACTAGGTCAATACTCCCATTTTTGTCCACCTCCACTGGCTGAATCTTCATACCAGCCATCTGGGCGCTTGCAGGGTTGGTGCCATGTGCAGATTTAGGAATAAGGCAGACCTTACAAAATGAAAAGTATGCAAGGGGGAGAGAAGAATGAAGGTTTAAAAAAAAGATTCTAAAAAAAAAAACCCTATAACCACCAGTTTTATAAAGCAGCAATGTTAAGTAAGAATGAAAATTCATCCAGATGTGCCTGGTACAAACAATAACAAAATGAACACTAAATACTAATCATTGTAGGCTTTTTTAAAAAAAATTCTAGTACAGCTCATTGAATGGTGCCTTATAATGTGCTGTAAGCTATGAGCTGATAAGCTTTCTTGGTTACAAATTGTTCAGAGGCGAGAGAAAGGAGTGCATTTAATTTCAGTTTCTTCTTCCCTCAGTTTTTCTTAAAAGACAGTGCAGATGTTCAGAATATTAGTACAACTTCCCTTCTCCTACCCCATCCCCCCCAAACTGTCACAGCCTTATTTCAATCTTGTCTTATGCATAAAACATATAAATACAATGGAGGGGGACTGAAAAACAGTGACTTCTTTCCCATCTGAGTTTTCTGGATCAAAAGTCTGTTGCTACCCCAGGGAAATGAGTCAGCTGGTTTTCCCTAAGTTCAATTTAACTTGTTCAAACAGTACAGTGATAGAGGTACTCTAAACTCAATTAATCAGAAAAACCACAAGGCCACAAGCAAAATCTTTCAGACTTAAATGTCAGATCCATTGTTACTTGAAAAGCACTCCCTGTTTTCTGGGTTCATATAAACACTGGTTAACCTAGGATGAACTGAAAGTTATGAAAAAACAAGGGAAAAACAGAGAATCTTCCAGTTTCAGCATAGTAATTATTCAATCAATATTTATGGAACACTTATGTGCAAGGCATACACATGAAGCCTAAGTTTCATAATGGCCTTATTTGCAAATGCAAAACAAAACAAAACAAACAAAAAAAAACCCTGAAAAATCACCAGTTAGGGAATAACAGAATAAATTATAGAATATAAAAAGAGAGACAATTGAGCCATAAGAAAAGATGATTATGAAGAACACAAAGATATACAAAAAGGTAATGAATGCAGAGTGAAGAATCAGAGCACTATGCACTATGATGACATTAAAAGTAAAACTAGTGGAAGGATCTGTGATTCCAGCCATGTTGTCCCATGGTTTCCAGTGTGGGAACTTTCTCTGCAGTACAACTCTAATAGGTAAGGCCCAGGGACCTGCTTGATATACAAAGAGATTAAGTGATTTGTCCAAAGTCACATATCTATTTGGCATCAGGGTCAGGATTTGAATCTAGGTCTTTCTGATCTAGAGTCTTTGGAAAAATTCCCCAGATGACTGGCCCTGTTTCCATAGTGAACCCTACAGACTTTGTCCAGGAGAACAACTCATCAAGATGGGTTTCATCATCACTCCCACCTCCAACCACTACCCAGCTGCCACTGATGGAGCAGTTAAGCCCTGGAGCTCCAGAATAGCAGCACTACCACTCCTCCTACTACCACTACCACTTCCCAGCCCTGCTACCAGCCTGGCTGCCACAGTTGTCCATCAGGGGATCAACCTGTATGGAGGTAAGACCTAGCAACTACCTTTAAAGGCAATGTAACCCTACCTCCTCAGCACCCACAGCTACTAAAAAACTGAGTAGATGGCAGGGGTAGTTAGGTGGTACAGTGCATAGAGCAGTGGCCCTGGAGGCAGGAGAACCTGAGTTCAAATTCAGCTCTGTGATCCTGGGCAAGTCACAACCCCATTGCCTCAAAAAAAAAAAAAACAAAACCAAAACAAAACAAGTGGATGGCACTTTTTTAAAAAAACATGTTAAATAATTAAATGAAATTAAATAAACAAGTTGAATGAATAAATAAATGTTAATAAATAATTTATCTATCACTTTCTTAAGTCTAGGCAATCAACAAAACAATAGATCAAGCCCTGATTTGTAGTAGCTCTAAATTTCTACGGTATAAATGCTCACAGTGAAACCAGCACATCCCTGGAACATACATGCATATGTACATATATACTTGCATACATACACACAAACCCCCTATATTTCACTGAGCTATTCAGAAGGAACTTGGATGGTTCCCTAAGCCATATTCATTCCCACTTCATGATCTTACGAAGAGAAGATATTTCTTGGGAGCCATTACAGTATGCTACATTATAGCTGCATATCAGAGAAGAAAAAAAAAAAATGCTCCCCAGCTGCATTAGTGCACATGTCCTTCCTTATCTTTCCTTTTGACAGCTAGAAAAGTCAGTGTCAAATGGAGCCTTTGATCTAGAAAGGACCACAGACTTTCAAGCTCATTACGTCTATTTTTACAAACAAAGAGTAAGAATTGTTCCTGCTTCTTTTGTGCTGCAGTACAAAACATCGTGTTCCTAGAATTGAGGAAACAAAAGACTGGACTTCTCTTACACCTGACTAAGAATAAAATGGAACCTAATACAGCCTTAGTTGTTTCTAACAGCGTTGATGAAGGTGCTGAAGGAGAAATATGTTATGCACAAAAAAATTGTGGGACCACAGAAGGTGGAACAATGAAGAAAGAGGAGGGGCAAGAAGTCCAGTGAGTCATGTAATTATGTCCTGCTTCAGGCACATACTGGTTTGATAACCCTGAAAAGTTACTTCACCTCAAAATACCTAAAGCAACTCTCATGAGAGCAAAAAAAAACTGCTGAAAACATTATTTAGTGATATTCCCCTAGACCTCTGAAATCACAGATATGGTTAAAAAAAAATTACAAGAAGGCCTTTGGTTTTCTTTCCTCAACCTTCTCTTTGGTTCCATCAATTCATGGACATTCATAGCTATTTTTGTGGTGTTAGGTTGGAAATTTTGTGAAAGTGTGGTGGAAGCATGGAGCAATGTACCGTCTACACGGCACAGGGTTATTAGCCAGGAGATCTTGACTCTGTTCCCAGCTCTATCACTAACCACTATGATTCTAGGCAAGATACAGCATTACTCATTTTCAGTCCCCTCATTTGTCCTTGGGCCAGGAAAGAGAATAGATTTAAGGCTTTGATTTGCTTTGGAATTCCCTAATTAGAGCTGTGCTCTTGCTCAAGACATAAAAAATCCCAAATTTGTGATTAAAAATTTTTAATCAAATTTAGAGAAGTCTTTAAACTAATCTCTATCCATCAACAAGGTCAAAGCAATCAAGACACACATACTTCTAAGGGCAAGAGAAGCGATCAGAGGAAAGATAGAAAATGGAGTGCTATTTCCTTTATACCTTGCTTTTTAAGGAGAAAATTTTAAAATTTTTTAAATGTTTAAGTCAAGCAAAATCAACCATGAAAGGAATAGTAAGCAAATACCATCAGGAGTGCACTGACATCTACATGCACCATCCACTCACTATCGCCATCCATCTATCAATTGCCATCTGGACACACCATCATTTGTAGTTCCATTCACAAGTCAGTAGAAGTTCTAGCTAGGAATCAGTTACAAACTGATCCTACCTCTCTCTACCACATCTGAAAACTTTGGGATATACAATCCCCTGCCGATTGGATATACAATTCGATTGCTGTTGGGGATTAACTAAATTCAATAGAAGACTTTAGCACCTGCTGGCCAAAACAATAGTCCCCTATTATATCAGCAGCTCCTACATGTTGGCTCACTAGCTCCGAACATTCACTCAGAGTAGAAGGAGGCCAGAGATACATGGGGAGTTCAACAAGGCAGGATGAGATCAAAAGCACTCAGAACAACAGCAAGGCAGAAAATACAAAAACATGTTCTCTTTCTGCTGTATATTCTGTGGGCATGAGCTGCATCTACCAGGATGTGATTCCTTCCTTCCTTCCTTCCTTCCTTCCTTCCTTCCTTCCTTCCTTCCTTC